CCTTTTCATCGAAATCATGCCTATAGGAATTTCAAGTAAATCCTGCCTGCTTCATTTCACGTTGAACTAGATATCATGTCTATAGAAATTAAAATCAGCAATAATAGATATCATGTCTATAGGATTTAAAATCAGCAATAATAGATGTCATCGTCTGAAACCAGTCTAGTCTAAAATAAGCCTAACTCTCACTGTTCTGAACTAATTTTCAACGACTCTCTCCCTTTCTATTAATATGGTTTAGAAAGCATGTTTATAGGATCATAAATCGTTTATTCTAGAATTTGTTAATGCTTTGCCCCAATCTGAATTGGTAATAGATATCGTGTTAATAGGATCTCACCCAAACACCTAGGCAAGCCTTAGGTGATAACAATAATAAAACTGAATATTAGTAATTACTACAACCAGCAGGCAGGCCTGATTAGGACTTCTTATCTGAGTAATGTAATAAATTGGTCCGCTTCAACAACTGAAACTCCCCTGTCTTAGTAATTTAAATTCTGGCCTTGATTGTGTTTATGTCATGCTATTTATGTGCTTTGCTTGAGGAGGTATACATGAGCCTTTTTGGGTGTTTACATGTTCCCCCTTAATGTGCAGTCCTATGTGTTTTGTATGTCGCCCTAGCTTTTTCACCTTTTGAAACCTCAAAGTCAGCGTAATATCCCTCCCCTTTAAGAATAGTAGTCCTAAGTGCCTTTGGGACTGATAGAAATGGGACGGGTAATAGCATACAATAGTGGTCGAGACCAATGTGCGCTTTAGTACCGCGACAGGTTGGGAAGGGTAGATATGGATATGATGATCGGTGCGCTAATACCACGTGTAGCGCCTCTCTCGAGGAGTGATTACCGGGTATTGCATTGATGTGATCCATATTGCAAATAAACCTAGCACCTCCCCCTCCTCTTTCTTTTCCTTTAAATATTTATAGAATTGTAACTTCTTTTCAAAATCAGCCCTTTAATGATTGCTTTGCAAACTCTGTTTTACATTCATCACTTCAAAACACTTGTGTATTAAAATCCCCTCTTATTTGAGCCTTATTTGTTTACTTGTTAATTGCACAAATTCACAAAGAACTATCTGTCCGGGAACCACACTTGTGGATCCTGAGGGGTGCCTAACACTTTCCCCTCAGGATAATTTCAAGCCCTTACCCTATCTCTGGTTATCAAACAAACTTAGAAGTGAACCTTATAGGTGTTCTAATGCACCTTAAATCATTAGGTGGCGACTCTTCAAATGCAAAACCCAGTTTCTAAAATGAATGAGTTGTCCTATACCCAAAATGTCATAAACTGATTTTTCGATGCAAAGAGGGAAAAAAGGGGGCGCGATAGCATGGCGACTCTGCTAGGGATTTTTAGGCTTTTACCATTTCAGATTGTTCTGGTGAATTTGTACCTCTCCCTATGTGA